CTTCTTTCTAACATCTTTCTAGCCTTTAAAAATACACTTGTTCTACATCTAATGATTTTTCCTGTGCATCAAGATACAGTCCTGTTCACTTTTCATTGCTTTTTTTCTTTTCAGTATCTTTCAAATATTTTCCCTACATTATCTCATTTTTCTGTTTTTGAGCTTGCTACTTTGTCCCAGTGCCTTTTCATGACTCTTCCCTATTTACTCATTGCCTCTCTCAACCAAGACAACTGATGGCCTGATTCATTTACTTGCTTTAAGTGTTAGAAGCATTGTGTTTGGCCAAGAAGAGCATTCTCAAATACGTCTAGCTGCTCTGTCTCCCTTCTTGATGCAGTTCATCCTTTTCTCCTTCACTGTGGTTGCATTTTTTTCCTGGAACTTTCTTATTCTACCTCCCACTTCTCCTGTTTCTGCAAGACTCTCTCTCATCATCTTTGTAACATTGCTTGTGTATGCAGTTATGATGGTTCCGCATCCATGCTTATCTTGTTTCCTCTCAGAATGAAATGGCCTCCCAGCTGTCTTATTTTGGGCACATATAAATAACATGTTGCTACTAAATCTTTTCTTACGTTCAAAAAGTTGTGACTACATTATGTATATCCTCAGATTCCTTCATTAGCCTCATAAATTTAAAGATCTACTTCAGAATTGTCCTTCTAGCTTTCAAAACTTTATGGCCCAGCCTGTATCACAACCACCGTTTCATGTTGTTCTCTTCATTCTCCCCTTCTTCAGTTAATGCTAACCTCCTTTGCTTTCATATGATCTCACTGTTTATGATACAAATACCTTCTGTACAGTTGCTGCTGCAAAGCTCTGTTTCCCTACTTCATTTACTTTCAATTCTCATTTGAAAATATTTTTCTAGTCCTTTTAATTTATAAGCCTACAAAATTCTCCTTGAAATTGGGGCTTTCCCTCTAATCCCTTTATTCCTTAACTGCACGACATGTTTTTTGAGTACAGACCAAGTACAGATGTATTATTTCCTGTTTACTCTTTGTAACATACATTAGGTTTCAGTCTGAATTGCAGTAAATTGTCTTCTTGCTGGAAACGATTAAAGGGGTGTGTGTGCGTGTGTGCGCGCGCACATGTGCGTGCGTGTGAATGAGGGGGTGCAAAAAGTAGACTGAATTCACAGTCACACACAAAGATGGTAATGATAGTCATAACTGTGAAGGTTATGTGGGTTGTGATGTCCTCAGCACTCTGAATTTGGTGTATATAGGCTTATATCCCAAATATTTGCCAGTGGTTTCTTAAATTTATTTATGGATTACCTCTAGCTCTGCAGAGGACTTTCTTTCTGAATCTCTTGTTCTTATATCTGTGCCTATTCCACTCTGGATTTCATGAACATGTGTTTCACTGTCACTTAGACTTCAGTTTTGAATATTTGCTCTTTCCAATTTTATATAGAAGGGGTCAAATAATAAGGCTTCTATACAGTTTTGACTTCATTTGGATAAGAGCCTTAGGATTTGGCCTAATATTAGTTGAAGTAATAAAAATTCTGGATTAACACTTTAAAGTAAATATGAGTTAAAATCTGACATGGTCACCACAAAAAGTCCATCTGGTACCCATTTTTGAAAATCTGACTCTGTCCCACTTGGAATATAATTTTTAGTCATATATCACTTAAGCGTGATAATAAAAGTAGTAAAATTGAAAGCTTTGGGGGCTACAGATGAGCACAACTAAAATTAGTGACCAGCATGACGGTTTCCTATATAAAAATGCTTTCTTCATTCCTCATAAGTTGTTTAAAAGCACAAAACTTTATTTTTTTATCTCACCCCTGTAAAATACAGGATATTTTTGGATGAAGGTTGTGAAGCATGACTTTTCTGTCGCATAATATTTATCCTTTTTTCAAGAGCATACCAGCAACTATGTGTATATATAGATACATATCTATACACACACACACAACCAACATACGTTACATAAATATGACTTTTGTCACTAGCTGGTTGTGCTTTAGAGACCCATATGTTTATAGTAATTACACATGTAAATATATTTACGTTGTGTGTGTTTGTGTATAAAGAGTATAATATAAGTATACTTTTTTTTAATAATAGCAGATTATCCAGTCAACATCTGCTCAAACTGTGAAACGAAACCCTGCCTGCCAGACTACCCAGATTAGGATGCCAGTGGTAATAACTCAGCCCATTAGACCACAAGGTATGGGTTTAACTGTTTTAGTGAGATTGTTACATTTGTATGAATTTCATTGTAATTTTATTACAAATTAGTAGCACGGGAAAACTTACAGTGTTGACATTGGCAGGCTTGACATGATTTTATACCTTACTGGCCGAGTATGCATGTTTTCACTATGTAATGTCAACATATTTTTAAGACCAATATCGTTAATTGTTTTGTAAATATAATTTAGGACAAAATCTTCAAGTGATCGGTCTTTAGCCGGCAGTTTCTCATGCAAAGTTCCTGTTGAAGTCAGGGATATGGCTCTTATTGTTTCATTTTAAGATTTTTTTCCCTTGGGGTAAGAGAGAATTTCTTCATTTTTCTGGTGCAGCCCTGAGAGTGCTTCAGTTTAATCCTCCTGCTTTAACTCTCACCCTGGAGGCCACATATTATAGCCACTATCTTTCTAACTGCAGAGAGAGTCCAACTGTAGGACTCCCTTGAGAAACTTCTGAACTACATACCTTTTATCTGCCACCAGTTACTCTTTTGTGATCTAGAGGGCTGCAGCATACCTTGCCACTATCAGTTTCAGGAGCAAGAGGCTAGGTATTGAACACAGTTCTACTATGTAGTTGTGCAAAAATAAATGAATTGGGTGGCTGATTCCATCTGTTGCCTTAAGAGAAATTTTGGAGCCCTCCTGGTTCCTTATCATTATGCGTATTTGTTAATTCTGTCTTTAACTACTTGCTGTCCTTAACCTTTCTGATCACAGTCTTGTTAATACCTGTCAGGATGCATGGGCAGTTAAATAATTATGGATTAGTAATGAGATACAGAGCTTGTCGATTTTAGGTCTCCAGTCCAAATTCAGGGTAGACTGGGATCATCCAGAAATCTTTATTGTCAGCCTGGCATACCGTATTTACTTACATACCTTCACCTCCCTTCCCCTCCCCCAAATGAGATGTACCTTGTTTCGGGAAGGCAGCATCTGGAGAAATTTTTTTTTTCTTCAATCTTATCTGCCACAGCCCAGGCTCACCAGAGCTGAACATTCCTTTGCCAGCATCACTCATCCTCTAGTTGCAACATCAAAACTTTGGGTTTAACCCTATAATAGCCACTGCCAAAATGGCAGCAGCTTTTGGCTAAGAAGCTTTCTGCCATGGAAATCAACATTTTTGCTTATAACAAACCTCCCAGTTTTGGAAGATTGACATTTAGGGAAAGGTGTGGCTGGTCTGTAAGTAAATACGATAAATTGTGTGCACTTTTCTATTCCCCATAAGTTTCTGAGGTGAGTATTTGTTGCCATCACAATCCAGCACAACTTAATACTTAACTTGCCATTCTCTTCATAGAGGCAAAAGGGTCAATGGGCCTGGAAAATGAACTGTCATTTCACTCCAAGGATTTCTTGCTACCACTCAGTGTTGAAGTGAGTTTATTTTTCGGGACAGGAGTTAATAGTAATCTTACACTGATTAACAGAAAAATCTCTAATAGGTCATGGCTGAGTGAGCTCTCATACTCTGCATCCTAAGCAGGGTGCATCAATGCAAGAGTTAATTAAGTTTCCATACCCAGACATTATTTGGTCTTTTTTTGCCAACACTAGGGCTAATTTTGATTTTTACTTGCATGAAGTAGACGTCTTTCTGTTAGACATTGGCTTAAAAGAACAAATTTATTTCATGCTTGATTAATTGTTTGGACATCATCTGGTAACAATTTAATTGACAATCTGGTATAAAAAATAATTCTGAGCATTTATATAAAGCTTTATAAAGCTTTTACAAGCATTTCCATATCTCATAGCACCACAGTGTGAGCATTGTTTTATCCCATTGTTTACATTACATTACTGCTTTAAGTGCACTTGAAAGTTATACTGACATAACTGTCACATAGGAATGTGACTTTTTTGCTAATATAGTTATACTGATATGTGCTGTAAACTGGAAACACACAAGCTGCACTTTGCAGTGTAATTTATTTTGCTTCCCTCTCATGAGTAAATGTATTGGGATAAAGTATCTATATCCTGGAATACCCATGTAAAGGAGTTGTACTGCTTTTAATATACCATCACAATTAAATCAGTAGAACTTTTTGGTATAAGCCAGGTGTCATCGGTGGTTATACTGTATAGATCAGGGGTCGGCAATATACAACCTGTGGGCCAGATCTGGCCTGCCAACAGATTCAATCCAGCCTGTGGGCAGAGAGCTGCCAACTCAATGGATCTGGCCTATGGGCAGCCAGTGGCTCTGGCCACTGTGTGGTGTTGGGGGAGTGGGGACACTGCTTAAGCCCAATAACTTCAGGCATCAACTGTGGACCCAGGCGGGGCTTCCGCTGCAGTGGTGGTGGCATCAGCGGACAGGCTGAGGAGCCTGGATGCAGAACCTGCCACCAGCGTCCATAGCTGACTTGTTGCGCTCTTGGTATGGTGGAAGCTTCTGCCCAGAGCCCTGACCTAGAACCTGACAGCGGCATCAGCTGCAGACACAGGCAGGAGCTGCTGCTGGACCAGGAGAGCAGCAGCATCTCTCTCTGTCTCTTCTCATCTCTCTGTCTTTCTCTGCCTCCCATTTCCCCTCCTTCCCCTTCCCTACAGAACCTGGCTGTAGCTGATGCTGCCGCCCAACCAGCACAGCAGCAGCTCCTGCCTGGGTCCACAGCTGAGCATCAGGGATCTTGGTGAAGTACAGTTCTGGCTGGGTTCTGAAGGGAGGGAAGGAGTTGGAGAGACAGACAAAGTGAGACAGACAGGGACACAGAGGAACAGAGACAGACAGAGGCAGTCAAGGAAGAGAGAGAGAGACAGATATGCATGTGGCCCTTGACAGGTCCCCAAAACTCATTAAGTGGCCATGCAGCTGAAATAATTGCCTGCCCGTGGTATAGCCACACCCACCCCATACCATCACCTGTACCAGTATAACTATTTCTGTGAAAATTCACACCCCTTTTCAAAGCGGACTGTACCAATATAAAAACTAAGGCCTTTTAAATGGGGAAATGAAATGAGACCGGTAAAGGAATTTGCCAAAAGCCACAAAAACATCAAATAATTTACAGAGCTAGGAGTAGAACTGGAGACCTAGTGACTCCTAAATTAATCTCTCCAGTCTGTGCTTCCTACATTTACATCTAAGACCTAATGATGATAGACTCTGTATATCATTACCAATCCAATGAGATATCCAGACTCACAGTTGATCTTAATTTATAGAAATAATTGTAAATTGTGTTGTGCTGCCTCATAAAACAAGTCTGGTTTTCAAGGTTTTGTATCATTGCTTTAGGCCCTGCAATAACAAAGTATGTAATTGAGGAAACTATTATTTAAATATCTACAGTGGCCATCTAAATCAGAAAGGTACTCCATCGCAGGTTTAGAACCATATATTTAATTAGTCTGTCAGTCCATTTAAGCACAGTAATATTTATGGGGTGGTGCATTAAATTCCACTTGCTTTTATTCATAGTTTAGACGTGACATGGATTTCCAGAAATTAAAAGATTTGCGACTGTATTGTACTTTCTGTATAATCATGCATCAAAGTCAACCATCCATAGAAAAACAAAGTATAGATGGTAATTAATTCTAGAGACAGATTAGTATTATTTCATAATTCTATTTTAGACTTATTCACTGAAGTTTATTACATTTTGCCAGAGCCATTACAACTGCTTTTATTATTAATATCCTTTGTGTATCCTGAAAGGATCCTGATACATTGTGAACTTTGTTGTTGTTTTTTCTCCTGTTGTATTAATCATCCTGTTTCCAAGTAATTCAACAAAAATTCTTTTGAATTAGTTCATCCTAAATTGAACTGATGAGCCTAAGGACTGATGGCCTTTGCATAAGAATCTTGAACATATTGAATCTAAAATGTATTAATTTCCCACAGCCTGAATTCCTAAAACTTACTTTTAGATTTTCCATGACCGTGGGTCATGCTGCAGTTTCTGTAATACAGAGCAGACTCAGCATTGAACAAGGATGGCAAATGGATTTTGGTTCGAGAGCTCTGGATGAAGTTGAACAAGGCTTAGAATGAAAAAAAATTATCTGCTCAGTGAAGGCAAACCTCTTTGTTCTAGGTACTAAATATTATTAAAGAATATATTAGTTGACCTAATTATACATTAGTTTTTTAGGGTTCATGAAAAAGTAATACAGAGCCACAAAGGTTTGTGAAAATGTCTGCCTGAGGACAATTTAATCCTAACACAACTGCAAAGAGGACTGTCAGATGCTATTTTAAGTGCCTCAGGGTCTTTACACATAACTTTCATTATATTGAGAAATGTACACAAGAAGGTAGAACTTAACATCACAGAAGACCTCCTTTTTCAGTATCATTCGTATGCCAAAAATTGGTTTGAACTGTTCAAGGATAAGTGAATCAGACCAAATACAGCCAAAACCGATATTCTAGTAAAATATACAAAGCAGTCAACTGAAGTTTCACTTGGTCAAATCTTTTTCATCCGAGGACTGGTATGATGTTTCCTGAAACTGGTCATCTAGATATGTTGATTTATGGTAATTTTTTACTGCAAGTTAGTAGCAGAAGCTTGCAGTGAGTTTTGTTTAGGATTTTTGTGGGAGCCAATGGGAGTTAAATGTCCAGTTATTATTGACTTACAAAGGCCTTAGGCCCATTAGGAAAAATCACAGGGTTGATTTATGTAATTATGTACTTATAAGACTGTTTCAAAGAACTTAACTGCTTACAAAATATTATTAAAATGAGAAAATAGGTTTAGATTTTTAAGAGGATGTTGCTATTTTATATTTTATAGCTACATATTTTTGATTATGTACAGGGTAAAAGTAGTAATGAAACAGCAAATAAAACTCATATATTTAATTCTGAAAATGTGTGGGGTATCCATAACAATGACGAGCCAGTGTATAGGAATTTTTTTTTCCCCTTTTAAAACATAATAAATATTACTGTAGTCTTTAGCATATCTTTAAATGTGACTTGTACCAAAACTCCTAGGAAGTACCACTTACAGGTCCTGATTGTTTGTTTTGTACAGATAATGTAGAAGAGCAGTTTACCAGCAGTTGCAAACACATTTATAGCCATTATGTGTATTATAACCAGCTATGGCCAATGGTTTGCAGTGTTAAGAGTCTTCAGGTTTTTTCATCAGTGAAAAATTAATACATCACTGTCAATATGCATCTTTAAAATTTAAATTGTTTTCTCTTTCTTCAGCAAAGGAATCCGTAAAAATAACAACTTGCTTTTGTTTGCAATTTACAGACAGTTAAATTTAGTTCCTGGACAGAAGGTTCTTTGATGTAAATTGTCTGAGACAGCTCATAATAACATTGCTTGGTGTTTTTCAGGCACAGTAGGGAAGGCACCAACAATACAAGCCAACAAAAGTCCTGGGGGCGTTGGTGTTCAGGTGTCTGCAAATCAGAAAAACAAGCTGAATGACCCTGGAGGTGGTTCTTTCAGGTAAAAAAAAAACAAACCCCACAAAAAAAACAAAACAAAAAAAACCTTAGAATAGGCTTAACACCAGAGGGCAGTATTTTACAATAATTCCTAGATTATCCATGTACTTTGATTGGATGACAGCTACTTATTTAGTTCTATTTTTTTTAATAGGAAACATATCTGGAAGATCTTTTCTTAAAAGCAGGGTGTTGAATGTATAGTAAGTCTTCCAGATCACTTTTGTAGCTATTAATTTTTTCATAAATGGAGTTACATAGATGAGGACTTCCTAAATGTAAAATACAGCTATTTTTGTGGATCAGATTTTGACTTCCATATGAAATGTACCTTGCTGAGAAGATCCTAATTGTGACAACAGGGCATACTGTATGTAGATAGGCTTGTGCAGCTCAGCTGCAGGTATCCTCTCATAAGCCTAAGGGACATTCTGATGTTTATAATGAGAAAAAAAAACTTCATTGCCTTATCTACTGTTGATGTGAGTTGTTTGTGCAGCACAATTTAGGGCATTCTTTGGGTTCCCATAGCGGTCAGGAGATTCACTGGTTCAAGCCAGTAGCCTGGGTGATTAAGCAGCTGTGTTAGTTCAATCCTTTCGTACTTAATTATTAACATTATTTATGTTTATATATTTTGGGTGTTGCACTAGAAAACTGATGTTGAATTTACTGCATTTTCCTTCCCCCTACTTACCTTTTAGATTAGTTTTACAGATATAAGTATATTTTGAGGGGTTTTTTTTTAATATTTTCCTTTCCTTTTTGTTTACTTGCTAAAATAAGACAGTATTTTTAGACTTTCAGATTCTTCCTTTAGGATTCTTATGTTGACCTGACCTCATCAAACCAGTAATTAATTGACAGGCTTAGACCTTTGCAGGTAGAGTTAGAGAATTTGTAGACCCTGTGAAATATCTCTGCTCTGAGGCATGTCAGCATTGCAACTAATAGTGGTAGTACTTAGTATTAATCTAGAAGTAAAATCATTCAATTTTTTATTTTCCAATGCTTTTGCCTCCCACTGAGTATTTAAATGATTTAAAATGTCTGTTGTGTTCAATTGTACTGTCTTAATAAGTATTTTTTATGTTAGTAAGTAACATGGCACTTATTCTTCGTTAGTATAGCTTTCAATTTTACATACACCAAAAGGGACAGCATTTTTTTTTACTGGGTGTTGTAAACTGTGCCAGGATTGATTCTTGCATTCACTTAGTTTATACATAGAATATATTAGGTTAGTTGGAATTGTTAATTTTCCCTTGGGGAGAAGCAAATGCTCAAGGCACTGATTGATAAATCAATAAATCTTTAGTGAGTTTGGTAAATAAGCTGTCAAGGGTGTATGTCATTTTTCCTCTAGAGAACAAATTTTAGTCGGAATGAATGTGTTTGTTTCCTTGCATTGTTTTCTCCTTCAAAATACTAAGACACAATGCTGCATTTAAATAAGTCCATAAAATTGCAAAGATTTATTAAACAGCAGTAGAGATCAAGTTTTTTTTCCTTGATATCTTAACAAAGAATTCAGTTGTTTGCATATTTGCATTTCAACCCCTAACCTTTCCTGAGGACAAATAGATGTCTGACTATTAAGCCTCAAGGCAGAGAGCTGGAAATCTGTATTAATCCTCTGAATGCTGACTAGTTTTCCTCAACATTCCCAGCGTGTGTGAAGAATGTGTTTGTAGCCAGAAGGCAAACTGGCATCTAAAGCAAAGCAAGAATTTTGAAAAATAGTTGTGTTATGTATAAATTTATTTTGCCCTTAGTGCTTTATTATTGCATATTTGTTTCATTATTTCATACTCTACTTTCTTTAAAATAACTTAGTTTAGTTTTTCACTCTTATGGGTAATGTCTTGGTCAGTAATGGAAAACTGAACTTTTATTTTTCCAGTTTCTTCTAATCATGTTATTTCTAAGTCTGGGATATCTTACAGACCTGTTTTATTTTCCAAATGAAAAAATACTGAAATGAATGAAAGATTTACACATGAGAGGGATGTAGAAACTGATGATTTCACAGTATTATCTATAATTACTATGTTATAAAAATGCTACTTTGGTTCATAGCTTATTTTGAAGTGATGGTAGCTGTTCTGTAGTTAAGATTGAAGCTGGTATTCTCTTGCAAGCTGTTTTCCATCCTGTAGTTTCGCCAAAATAAAACTCAAATCCCTCTGAAACCCCGTGTGTCATCTTATCTTGGGATAAAATCTCATTCTGGCTAAAATTTGTCAGGGAAGAGGATGCAAGTACTCCATTAATGCTGACAGGTAATTTTAATGATGCTTAGAGAAGAAAATAATAATGTAGAACTTGTTAACATTTTTACTAATTCTACAGTTGGTGCTCCATTCCATACATTATAAAACCATAATGTAAATAATATAGTAATACATCTCAAACAAAGCTTTCTGTAACCAGGAAAGAGAGATGAGTAGAAGCCTCCACTGTGGACCTCACCTTGTTGATCTAATCTACTAGAAGACTTACAGCTGTGACAGTGTAGTATACCACACATAGAACATGATGCATGGAGTTAAAAGTGCAGAAGATAAATGGCTAACTTAGATAAATATCATGGTGGTCCAGTGGTAACTGTAATTTAGATTTTGTTCATATTCATATTAAACATGGCTTAATTTTTTTATGAGGATTTTTTTATAAGGGTAGCAATAACATAGTATAACTTCTCTAAATTCACAGCACTAGAGAGTTAATTTTCTGAAAATACAAGTGACCACTTTTGTGTGTGTAGCATTGTTGAATTGAAATTAGGTGTATAAGAGAGGATATTAGTGTGTTTTGTGCTTTGGTATCATAATGGATGCTGGACACGTGTACTTAAACATTGATTTAATGGCTTTGTGGTGTTTGTGTTTTGAAGAAATACTTCTGAACAATATTAAACCTAACAAAACAGAGTATATTGTGTAGGAATTACCTGTATTAGGCAGGATGGGAATTCAGCAATAATTTCTGTATTACACTCTCCACTCTTTCTTGCCACCTCCCTGCCCAACTTGGCACAGCTAATAGAATGAGGGCTGGACTAGATGACCTCCTGAGGTCCCTTTCAAACATAATTTTCTATGATTTTCTATGATTCTATGAATCATAGAAAATTAAGGGTGGGGTCATCTAGTCCAACCTCCTGTTGAAAGCAGGACCATCCCCAACTATATCATCCCAGCCAAGGCTTTGTCTAGCCTGGCTTTAAAAACCTCCAAGCATAGAAATTGCACAACCCCTGTGGGTAACCTTTTCCAGTGTTTTACTGCCCTCCTAGTGAGAGAGTTTTTCCTAATATCCAAACTGAACTTCCCTTGTTACAACCTGAGACCATTGCTCCTTGTTCTGTCATCTGCCACCACTGAGAACAGTCCAGGCTCCATCCTCTTTGGAACCACCCTTCAGGGAGTTGAAGGCTGCTATTAAATCCCCTCTCAGTCTCCTCTTCTCCAGACTAAATAAGCCCAGTTTCCTCAGCCTATCTTTAGAAGTCATGTCTCCAGCTGCCTAACCATTTTCATTGTCCTCCGCTGGGTTCTTTCCTATTTGTCCACATCCTTTCTGTAGTGGGAGGCCCAAACAGGGAACAGTACTCCAGGTTTGGCCTCACCAATGCTGAAAGAGGGGAAGAATCACTTCCCTTACTAAATGGAGGAGGCAACTTAGTAACAGATAATGTGGAAAAGGCTAAGTACTTAATGCTTTTTGCATTTCAGTCTTCACTGGCAAGGTCAGCTCCCAGACTACTGCACTTGGCAGCACAGTTCAGGGAGGAGGTGAGCAGCTAACTGTAGCCAAAGAAAAGGTTAGGGACTATTTAGAAAAGCTGGATATATACAGGTTCATGGGGCCAGACTGGATTTAGCCGATGGTGTTGAAGGAGTTGGCTGATGTGATTACAGAAGTTACTGGCCGCCATCTTTGAAAACTCTTGGTGAACAGGAGAGGTCCTGGATGATTGGAAGAGGGAAAATATAGTGCCCATCTTTCAGAAAGGGAAGAAGGAGGATCCAGGAAACTACAGACTGGTCAGCCTTACCTCAGTCCATGGAAAAACCATGGAACAGATCCTCAAGGAATCCATTTCTAAGCACTTGGAAGAGAAGGTGATTAAGATCAGTCAGCATGGATATACCAAGGGCAAGTCATACCTGACCCACCTGATTGCCTTCTGTGATGAGATGAGTATGTCTGTGGATGTGGGGAGAGCAGTGGACTTAATATACCTTGACTTTTCCAAGGTTTTTTATATGGTCTGCTACAATATTCTCACAAACAAGCTACGGAAGTACAGGTTGGATGAATGGACTGTAAGGTGGATAGAAAACTGTCTGGATCATTGGGCTTAAGAGAGTAGGAGTCAATGCGTTGGTGTCTAGTTGTCAGCCAGTGTAAAGTGGAATCCCCCAGGGGTGGATCCTGGGGCCATTTTTTTCAATATCTTGACCTGGAAGATGGGATGGAGTGCATCCTCAGAAAGTTTATGGATAGCATCAAGCTGGGAGAGAGTCATGGAGATGCTGGAGGGTAGGCTAGGATTCAGAGATGTCAACAAATTGGAGAATTGGACTAAATGAAATCTGATGAGGTTCAGTAAGGGCAAGTGCAAAGTCCTGCACTTAGGACGGAACAGTAGTAGGCACTGGTACTGACTGGCTAAGCAGCAGCTCTGTAGAAAACGAGCTGGGGGTTACAGTGGACAATAAGTTGCGTATGAACCAACAGTGTGCTCTTGTTGTGAAAAATGCTAATGGCATACTGGGCTGCATTAGTAGGAGGGTTGCCAACAGATATGGGGAATTGATTCTTCCCCTCTTTTTGGCACTGATGAGGCCACATCTGGTGTACTGTGTCCAGTCATGATAGAAAGGATGTAGACAAATTGGAGAGAGTCTAGCAGAGGACAACGAAAATGGTTGGGAGGCTGGAGGCATGACTTATGAGGAGATGCTGAGGAAACTGGGCTTATTTAGTGTGAAG